AAAAATTAGCTGGGTATGGTGGCATGAGACTGTAGTCCTAGCTAGTAGGGAGGCTGAGGTGAGAGAATTATCTGAACCCAGGAGTTCAACCATACAGTGAGCTGTGATCGTGCCAGCCTGGGAGACAGAGTGGGACTCTGTCTCAAAAAAAAAAAAGAAAGAAAAAGAAAAATTTCCATAGTAAAACATTACACAAAAAATAAACTTATGATCTATTATATCAAATACTAAGCTATTAGATCGTAAAAGGAGTATAAATAAAGCTAGTATAGAACATCTTGTTTTAAAAGTTACCTAGTTTGTATTTACCCAATAACCTCTTCAATTTTTACTTTTAAAAGTTTTATAAAGAGAAAGGCAGAAGGGTCAACTAAAAGTTACTTTCCTCTTTGAAACAACCTTCAAACTTATTTTATCATGAAAGTATTAGAAGGCAAGAAACGCAAAATCTGATGGAAATATGAGATAAACACCAAGAAAAAGAAGACAGGATTGACATACACAGTGACAGTTATATATAATTGAGTATGTTTTCCCGAATTTTGAAGATACAATTATGATAGAGAAAACTATTTTTACCCTAATCTGAAATTTAGGTCCAAAGGATTTTAAAACTTGATGTACATACAGCTGGGAACCAAATTTTACATAAATATGTATGGTTTTTTTTTTTTAATCAAAACCTAAAAATAGAAAGTACAAATTCAGTTCAACTGTTAGTAAATGTAAATGTCTAAATTAAAGAGAAGGCAAGAAAATTTGTGAAATGATTTAGGAGTAATACCAGAAGATTTCCAGCCAACTTTTAAAAAGCCTATGAATTTCAAGAGAGATCAGCCAGGAGCTTATGCACGTAAGATGTTATAGTTAGAAAAGGACCACAAAATAAAACAGCAGCTCTACTGCGAAAGAAGCTTCTTTGTTAGCTTGGGCAAATCTTTGTATTTCTATCAAATTCAATATGTAAAAGCAAACTAAGGAAATATATGTTCTATAGTCTCATCTAACAATTCCAATGAAGGTTAAAATTTTAGATGAAATTATAAATACAAAACAAATGGTCAATAGTGGATGAAAGAAGTGTGACTAGGAAAACAACGTATTAACTGTTTTTCTTCTCTTAAAGACAAGACCCCAAATAGCAAATATCCAAGTAACTGTATCAGAGACTCCAATATCCAAGAAAAGGATTGAGACATTTATTATACAATATCATTGACCAGATGAGGCTCAAGAGAATTAAGGTCACAGTATTTCCCTTAAATAAATTCAAAAGATTCACTTGAATATTAGCTACCAAAACAATGTATAGATAAAACACATTTAAAATTTTCATTTACTAAGAGTAACTGTAATCTAAAGCATGAAATGAATATTTGTATTTGAAGACTACTGCCAGAAACTCTGTCTATAAAAGCATAATTAATCACAACCGCACATAAAAATAGTATGGCAGTATAAGGAATACAAAATGGACATAAGAGTTTGATAGGGTCGGGCACGATGGCTTAAGACTGTAATCCCAGCGCTTCGGGAGGCCGAAGGGGGAGGATCATGAGGTAAGGAGTTCGAGACCAGCCTGGCCAGCATGGTGAAACCCTGTCTCTATGATAAATACAAAAAATTAGCTAAGTGTGGTGCTGGGGGCCTATAGTCGCAGCTACTTGGGAGGCTGAGGCAGGAGAATTGCTTGAACCTAGGAGGTAGAGGTTGCAGCGAGACGAGATCACGCTACTTCACTCCAGCGTGGCGCCTGGTGACAGAGTAAGACTCTGTGTCAAAAAAAAAAAAAAAAGAGTTAGATGGAACAGCAAGTTCACAAGTGAGTTCTTTTTTGCCTACTGTTACTATGATATTATGGTTCTTAAAATAGTTTAAATCCTAATTTCATATTTAAAATTCTAAATATGCATTTTATTTTAATCATTGAAAAGGAGAAAATTCTTTTAAATAAGCAAAGTAGGTCATCTAAATAAAGAACCCAATGGCATAACACAAAATCAGAGAACTTTAGGGTAGCAAAGAGTCTCAGAAGTCTTGGCCTCAGCCTCCCAAGTAGCTAAGACCACAAGTACACACCATCACACCCAGCTAATTTAAATTTTGTACAGATGAGGTCTCCCCAGGTTGCCCAGGCTGGTCTCAAACTCCTGCGTTCAAGCTATCCTTCTGCCTCGGCCTCCCTAAGCACTGGGATCAAAGATGTAAGCCACTGTGCACAGCCCTTACAGGCTTTAGATAAGAGTGGTGTACAGGCCCACCCTACTAGGTCATGTTGGGGGTGAGACTGGAACACAGAACAGGTGTCCCTAACTCCACT